GTGCTGACCTGACACATCATCAACACCAACTTGGCTCCCAGCTTCCTTCCTCACCTTTCCTCAGCAGGGATTCCTTTCCGTACGTCACGCACTTCTGGAGCAGCTCGATGCATTTTTTCTCCAAACAGTGATTCTTGATCTGAGTGATCAAACGCTCGTTTTCCCATCTCCTCTTGGTCACCTGAGCGTGGACATCCCATGCGATCCAGGTGAGAGTCTCCTGGTCCAGGCTGATGAAGTCCTTCCCATCGTAGCCATACTGATAAACGCCCCCCTTGTGGCCTTTGTCGCTCAGCTCGCAGCGAATCAGGTTCTGCCAACTGTGGAACCCTGCTCAAATCAGGATAAACGTTGGGATATAGGCAGAGTAACCACCTGTACCATATAACAGGGCTCCCCAACTTATGGGCCCCGGCCGGTCCTGGACCGTGGGCTCTTGGTCAGCAGGCTGTGCGCATTCCCCCCCCAATCGCGCTAGCACCTGTGGACCAATTGCGCATGCGTGAACAGAACTGCTAGCCGCTGCAGAGTACACAGCCTGTTCTGATCCAAACAAGAGATTTGCTTTATTCCTGTTTGTCACAGACAGATTAACTCCAAAGACGGATTAATATTCAGATTATTTATTCTTCAGGAATCCCTAAACAATAACTTACAGTTAAGAAGAGTTCTTCTGAGGCAGGTATCATAACCTGTCCGTTCTTGTGGTGTAAAAAAATTAAAGGTAGATTCACCCCATTTTCGTATGGAGCAAAGGAACCATGTGGCTGTACTACACAAAGCTTTTCATACATACACTTAGCCAGGAAATCCTGTCATAAACACAGAAGTCCCTCCCAATGGTTAGTTAAGACATAGAATTGACCAATTAGAACACATATATAACCATGCAACTAAACTACATTTCCCAGAAGCCATCTCTTAAGGAGACAGCATTTAACCCCTTAAAATGCTACTTGCTCTAACAGCACATTCTTAGTTCCTAAGTTAGACATACACTCTGGCCAGATGGTTACACACTGGTCCAGCAAACGGCCGTTCGCGCATGCGCATGGTGCCAGCGCATGCCGCAGGCACAAATAGGGCCACTAGTGCCGCACCAGTGTGCGTGGCCCCATTTGTGTGCGTGCACACGCACCAATTTGGAAGCTGCTCTCCTTCCCTCCGGGCCACAAGCCCAGAAAGGTTGGAGACCTCTGCCGTATAATAAAGGACAGTCCTTTATTCCAGAAAGCTGACCTGTAGATTTAGTGATCTTTTTAAAACAAAAAAAAAACAATGAAAGCTCATTGTTGTCCTTCACATGCAGTCCTCGACTTACAACAGTTCAGTTAGTGGCCCTTTGAAGTTACAACGGCACTGAAAAAAAGTGGCTTATGGCCATTTTTCAGACTTATGACCGTTGCAGCATCCCCACGGTCGCCTGATTTGCATTCGGATGCTTGGCAACTACTGTATGACGGTTGCAGTGTCCCGGGGTTGTGGGATCCCCTTTTGCGACCTTCCGACAAGCCAAGTCCACGGGGAAGCTGGATTCACTCAACAACCGGATGACAAACTGAGCAACTGCAGTGATTCACTTAACAGCAATGGCGAGAAAAGTCGTAAAGTGGGGCAAAACTCCCTTGACAAATTTCTCACTAATCTGGAGCTCAACGGTGGTCGTAAGCCGAGGACAATCTGTAGTTTGGCCATTTGATTCTCACCGTGCAAATGGCAGCCCTTAATTCAGCCTTCCACATTCGTGTGCAGAAGAGGGACATTTTATTTTGACTCAAATGTGCACGACCACATTTTCTTTGCTACTATTTCCTACCCATCCAGACTCTTCCTGGAGAGGAAGGGTGACCTCGGAAAGCCCCAAATCCATGGTTCAAAGCCCCCCCCACACCCCTGTGTGCCCTACCTTTGCTGGAGTTGTGATAGTTGTACAGGATGGTGAGTTCATTCTTCAACCCCCGCTCCGTGATGTTCACTAACCAAGATAGGGATTCCCAGAGACGGGAGTCTTCCTCACTCAGATTAAGAAGCCAGGGCACTTGGGGCAGCATTTTTCTGGTGGGGGGGTCAAAGCGTGCAGCCAGCTGGTCGTCCACATACGCCACCATAATGTACTGGACCCCATCCTGGCTGGAGCCCATGAACAGCGTGTAGAAAATGCGCAATGAATGGGAAGAGGAGCCTGAAAAGAGCAGATTGGGGGAGAGGAGGGAGGAGATTTGGGAGAGGGGTCTCCAAAGGCACACTTTAAAAAAACAAAGATTTTTTTTTTAATTTGGAACCAGCCCTCTTCATAGACAAAGCCTCACTACTTTAAAATTATGGAGGTGTATGGAGGTCTATCACGAAAGACATCCTGGCCCCAAAAGAGGAGGCACTGAGGGGTCCTTGGTGCTCTCTAAGTTTGGTTGTTTTCTTGAAGAGGTTTTCATCACCCAAACTAGGTAACATCATCAATGCTAGTAAGGAGTGGAATGTACTCTCACTTTATATTCAAGTGCAGTGGTCTTCAAACTTGGCAACTTTAAGGCTTGTGGACTTCAACTCCCAGAATTCCTTAGCCAGCCCAGGGCTGCCCCGTGGTTCTAAGGCTGAGCGCGTTCTGGCTTTGGTGGCTGGCACCAGGTTGTAGATCAGCACCCGGTTGGCCTGGGCCGGGCCGAGGTGCCGCGGCCGGTCCTTCGCTGTTTCCAGAGCAGCTATGCGGGCCAGAGGCAACCACATGGCAGGCTGGATCCGGCCCGCAGGCCTTGTATTTGACATATCTGTACTCTTGTATGAAAATAAAAAGTTGAAGTCGTAATGTTATCATCTATCATGCCAAAGAGAGTTGGAAGTCAGTGCCTTTTTATCTTTTTCCCTTCCCAGCCCACATTTTCCCTTTCTCCTTCCCCCGGTTTTCCGTTACTTTACATTTTCCTTTGGATCTTTTGTTTTGATAAAAATTAATAAAATTTTAAAAATCAAAGAAAACAAGCAAGCTCAGAGAGCATCGCCAAGGACCCCTCACTTCGACCCTGAACTACAAATGTTCTCCCTTTAGAGGAGGGACTAGATGTCCTCTGGTAACTTTCAGTTTTGCCGCGGGCAGTATAAAACCAGGCCAAAAGTCTACAGCAAGATTAAAATGGGCTATTTTTATTTCAGATTGATAGGATTGCCCTCCCCAACCGGGCAAAGCCTCCGGAACTCGCTGCCACAGGAAAAACAGGCTGCCCGTCTCAGGTTTCCTTAGCCTCGCCCCCTCCAGCCACTTACTTGCACATCCAGCCCCCAGCAACATGAGGGCCGCCGCGGACAAAAGCTCCATCCGGGCCGTCGGGAGTCCCATCCGGATCCAGACGCGAGATGGGCAGCCCCGATCAGCTGGCGGCGAAAGAAAAAGTCTGTGAAGGGCGCCAGAGGGGCTGAGCGCTGGAAAGTGAAAGTGGCACGGAGGTCATATGCGGGGGGAGGGGTGTCCCAGCCCCGAAGCTCACTTTGGGGAGAAGGAAAGGAGACCCCCTAGAGAGCCAGGAAAGGGAAGGAGCCATAGCGAAAGGAGGTTCGGGGCAAAAACCTGCCCAGCCCCGAGAGCGCAGAGGAACACACGGTAAGTATATACTTCTAGTCCAGTGTTTCTCAAGCTTGACAATTTTAAGGCATGTGGACTTCAACTCCCAGAATTCCACAGCCAGCATTGCTGGCTGTGGAATTCTGGGAGTTGAAGTCCACATGCCTTAAAATTGTCAAGCTTGAGAAACACTGTTCTAGTCCAACCCCTTAGTTGGTGGGCCGGGCGTTGTGGGAACGGCCTTATATGGAGGAGGCGGGTCAGCTCAGTGCACCTGGTTACTCAAGAGAGAGACTCGCCCTTGGGGTGGGGGGGCTGAGGCTACAATCCCCATCCTCCCCTGCGGCCTGGGGATGATGGGAGTTGCCTCGAACTCCCGACGAAAGGCGCTGGGTTGCTTGGGTGAATAAGGGCGGTCTGGAATCGGCCGTTCTTTAAATCCAGGTCATTTTAAATGAAATAAAATAAAATCCTTTTCTCACCTGCCAGGCCGTCCCGCTTCTTTTCTCCCGGCTTGGCTGGCTTCCGACGCTGTTTAGCTCGGCGGGAAATGAATCCCAAACGGAACCTAAACATGGCGCTTTGGGGCTTTGGATCGCTGCCGATCCTCAGCCTTCAGGGCCAGCCCTTCCCATGGCGGGCTCTGGGGCCCTCCGGGGAGGCTCGGGGAGGCTTGCAATGGGGGAGAAGCAGGGAGGGGAGGAGGGGGCGCTGCCTCCTGGGGCTGCCTCTCCCCTCCCCGAAAAAACCTCGTTGGCAATTAAAACGGCTCCCTTCCCCTCGCGCTTCGCCCGAGCTTTCTTTTAAGTTTCGGTGTTTCTCGTTTGCATTTCGGAGCAAGGAGTGAAAGTGAAAGTGAACGGAGAACGTTCAGAGCTCTGCCCCGCCCCCTCCTCCTCCTCCTCTCCCCACGCCCATTCCTGTCCGGGGAAAGACTAAGCCTCCCTCCAGTCAGCTTCCCGCCCC